ATATTCATACTTTATTGTTTCAGCATGTTTTGTTGGGGGAGGGTTACATTATTTTTATTCCATTAGAATGTGCTGTACCTTATTACTTTGCTCATTCATTCCTTCTCTCTTTAATTCTTTCATCCTTCTATTTAGCCATAGTAAATATTAACTACTGTGCCAGGAGCAAGAGATCCAAAATGAATACAACATCATTCTAGCCCTTAAGAGTTCCTAACTCAGTGAAGGAGAAAGACAAATAAATAAAACTCTTTTCCCCATTTCTTTTCTTCTTAATTTTGTCTTAATATTACTCAATCTAACCTCATATTTATGCATTTCAGCTCAATGCAGTGAGTCATAAACAAGACATTTTCTACATCCAAAGCTCTATGAATTAAGTTCAGATAAAGCGCACAAATTCCTTGCTAATGCAATCTAAGTGTTGCCTCTGGGTAATTTCAGATCTTCAAGGCTGCTGGAGTCACCCTTTCATTTGGTAGTCAAACTAAGTTCTTAATAAACTGAGCTCCTATTCTTTATTTCATGGTAAGCTCTGTCTCTCTCAATATCTCCAAGGACTTCCATGAGGGCTAAATTTCTCCTGATTACCTTTTACTCTTATTTGTTAACATTGTATATTTTTGAACCTCACTGTGTATCTTGTCTCTCATGGTTTACTGCTGCCCTCTTTTTGTCTTCTCAGGGCCCAATATCTCATTACTCAAAGCACCATCATCACGGAGCTGTTCTATACAACCACCTTTTGCTGAAAGCATAAAAGAACATTGTCTTAAAATATAATATTCTCCATTGGTACCCCAAAGTTCTGCAGCTGTATGTGTGGAGAGATTTCTCCCTTACTTGCCCTCACATTAGGGACCTTTCCTCATTCTCCTTAGAGACTTTTCCCATTTTCTTTTCTTCAGAATTCAACTCACTTCCAAGCTTCCCACTGTCAAGCTAACTTCCAATTTCCTACCATATTATTTTGAAGCATACTGTCACAACTCTCTCATTCTAGATCATACCTAGTGTCCTTCCTTAATCTTTACAAAAAAAAAAAAAAAAAAAGGCTACTTAGCTGGTTTTTTAAAGCAAAATAATTGCCTACTTCTGAGATTGTTTCCAGAATGCCAAAGTTTGTTTTCTTTTTTATATTCTTTAATTTTCCTTTTTTTTTTCTTTGGTGTGTTGTATTTGCATTGAAGCCAGAATTATGTCACAACATACACACAGAAACACACACACGAAGACACAAACATCCCATTACTTAGGAGGTAGTAAACAATTTTTATTAAGGTTTAGGAAGATTCTTTTAAGATTCTATAAATGCTTATAATTTAAAAACTACTCCAATTTATTTGATAATGGTTTATCAATCTTGTGTTCTCAATCTGTTGAATAAAACACCGGGAGGGTAGTTTTCAAACTGTAGTATGCATAGCAATCACCTAGGAAGCTGTTAAATGCAGATTTCTTCTCCCCACACAAGAGAATCTGGGTCTGGTATCTGATACAAAGGTAAAGAATTTGCATTTATGTAACCTCCTCAAGTATATTCTCATGAATGTCATCTTAAGCTCACACTCTTTTTCTAGAAATACGGGTGAATAATTTCAATGTTATGCAAATACATGTTACTTATTCCAGCCACCAAAAGTGGTATCTTAAGACCATTGACCTTTTCCTGACAACAGTAACTTATTAAATAAATATAAACATTAGGTTTTAGTAGTTGTTATTGAGGTAATAATGACATTTTAAAAGTATACATAAGACTACAATATATATAATAATGATTTCTAATATTTGCATAGTGCTTTAAATTAAAAAAAAAAAAATAACGCTTTAATACGTATCTTTTATTTTTACATCATCCCAAACAATGGGGCTGGTATAAAATTTAAGACAAGTAAATCCTGTAAGTTTTTCAGTTGGTCGAAAGAAGCACTACCAGCAACCAGACTGCTTTAAAGTCATCTTACAGCTTCATTTTAAAACCCAGGTAATATTTTTTGGTTGATTTGAAGCTCTTCAGAAAAAAAGAGGTTAACGTTTTAAAAGTCAGAGGTTTCTGTGCTAGCTTGGGACTTATTCACCAAAATTTGTACAAAAGAGGCAGATTTGGAAAACTGCTATTCCTGTAGTGTTAGTCAAGGCATTGCTTGTCAAAGTGAGACTGAGAAAGTTCAAACTATTTTTGTTAAAGCTTCCTACTCTGTGAAACACACGTGTCCCCTTTCTATCGGTTTAACTTCCACTCATACCTCAGATTTCAGTCTATTGATGTTTTGGCCGAGGTTTCTATGACCCCTCTAAATGAAGTATCTTTTTTGATCATTTTTTTTCTTCATTGCTTTTATTATAATTGTAATTAAATAATTTTTGTGTGGTTTATTTAATATACATTGCATCCCTTGTAGTTTGCAAGTTCCTCAAAGGCAGGGATTGTGTTTTTGTTAACTGCTGTTAAATTAAGACTCTAGACCTATGGTCTGGTGTAGAGAGGCACCTAATACATATTTGTTGAATGAATGAAGAGTAGAAAATGTTCGATTAGAAAAGGTCTCAGTGTTTTATATTGACAAGCGTCGAAGTATACTAGAAAACTGTCTTTGTTGTATGGGAGATGGGCTGCTGAGCTAGGACTGATTTTGAAGGAGAAATGTTGGGAAATTTCACTCAGTTCACTTCATGAATGTAGGTGGAGACAGTTTGAGACTGCAGAGTTAGCTGAAAAAAAATTCTGATTGAGGAACGTTAGAAACATAAAATGAAAACTGCTGTTTATTTTAACTGCCTTATATTCTCTAACTCCTTTATATGTAGAATTAGTGCACTAAAACTTTTGATGCTTAGCCTGGAAGGCTTGAGACCGGATTTTAGGGGGAATCAGAACCAAACATGACTCTCAATCTATAGATAATGTTTTGATTAGATTAAGAAGTGGTATATAAATCAAAGATAACTGATTCTTCCTCCAAAAGATGTCATCTTTTAAGGTATCTAGGGAGGCTTAGTGATACTAAGTGTTTCAGAAGGTAGTTGATTAAAAAAAGAACTATGTATTTATTTGTGCAAAGGGAAAGCTGAGTGAGAAAAAGCATGCTTCTATCTCACAGTATGTCTGGGAAAGATGATTGTCAAGTCAAAATGTCAAAATGAAGAGAAGCTGGAAGATGCGCATGGGAAAATGTCAAAGCCATGAAAATGACCTGTCTTATAATACTGTTTGGATGCTATACTAACTGGCACTCTGCATAGAGACTGTTCCATAATTTTGGTGGTTCTTGAAGTCAGGTAGTCACGGTCTTAAGATTTTTTTTTAGACCTTTTGTATATCTCTGACATATTTGGTGAGATTTGTTTATCTCTTACATTGAGACTCAGCCAGGTAAAAAAGGAGGTGGTTTCAAACTTAGATCTTCTCAGTAGCATAGTTGGGTAAGTATTAGGGAACAGCTTTGGGTTTTTGATATACTCTATAATTTCCGAATAAGGGCCTCCCTCCACTAATGACCTCCAGCTTTTGAACAATTTATTTGTTTAGATATTCAAGGAACAATCTCTTGGTGCTCATTCAGCATGCTAAATCTGAGAGCATTGTCAGACAGCAGTAGGAATCTGCCAGTTTCTTTGAAAGCCTCTGCTACTGACTGCAACAGCACCAGTCAGTCAAACAACTCGGTTTCAGTTTTTCAGGTTTTTAACTTTTCAGTATGTGAACCCAAAATAAATAAATGTTTCAACATACTTTTATTCTATATTTGAGAATTTGGTAGTTAATGCAACAGAACCTCATGTGCAACTTGTCAGGTTAGTGTCTCAGGTCTCTCACTTTGTATCCTGGCTTTGTGAAAGTGGCTTAAACTTTGTGCTTAATATTCCAGAACTGTAAAGTGTGGTAGTAGAGTTGTTAAAAATACTGATATGAGTTAATTATGTAAATTGCATTTAAGAATGTCTGGTACTAATAAGAACTATGTAGGTGAGAGCTTTTATTATTATTCCACATTAGTAGGTATGCAATCAGATGTTATTGACTGAAAAAATGAAATAAAGAATTGAATTAAAAACACTTGCAACTCGATAACATGATATTCTAACGTTTGGAGTTTTTTTCCACGAGAGGAATTGTTTAATTTGTTCCTTAACTCTGTTTCTCTCTCTTCAGTCTTGTTGCCTACTCTACTTTAGATTTACTCTTTTAAATAAGTTGCCACTTTAAGTTGATATAATTTAAGTGGTAATATAACTCAAAGATTGTGTGTGTGTGTGTGTGTTCATACTTCATGATAACCTGAATATTTAATGTGTTTTTTCCACGAGAGGAATTGTTTAATTTGTTCCTTAACTCTGTTTCTCTCTCTTCAGTCTTGTTGCCTACTCTACTTTAGATTTACTCTTTTAAATAAGTTGCCACTTTAAGTTGATATAATTTAAGTGGTAATATAACTCAAAGTGTGTGTGTGTGTGTGTGTGTTCATACTTCATGGTAACCTGAATATTTAATGTCTAGATAGAAATCCACAGTTAAATTTGGATGGCTTCCAAGTTTCCATTAGTGTGAACTGCACCTTATAGTTAGAGATGTAAAACTTGATCTAATACATGAAGATTTCTAGGATCATAAACAATATCTGGAGCCATCATCTACCTTTATTATTTTTTTTCAGTCTTCTGCCCTTTAACATTCTTTTGGAATGATTTTTATGCTCTCTTCACAGGCAAACAAAACGGTCAATAAATTATTTTCCAAAATGAAGCAAAAGTTTGTACTTAACATAAGCTGAAAAGAGAACTTAGAACATATAACATATGCAACTCTAATTGTTACCTGCACGTCTTTTTTCACTTGAGTAACATCCCAAGTGAAAGCTCTCAATATGCTTTTATTGTTGTTGTTGTTTTTTTTTTTTTTTTTTTGTCTACAGGGATCGATGCTTTTAGATTTGGATCAAATTATGTCATGGTTCAGATCACTCTCTCTTTTTTTATTTCTTTTTTTTCCCCTACAGTTTATTGCTTTCGCTTCTTTATTCTTCATCCTGGTTTCAATCACAACTTTTTGCCTGGAGACACATGAAGCTTTCAATATTGTTAAAAACAAGACAGAACCAGTCATCAATGGCACAAGTGTTGTTCTACAATATGAAATTGAAACAGATCCTGCCTTGACGTATGTAGAAGGAGTGTGTGTGGTGTGGTTTACTTTTGAATTTTTAGTCCGTATTGTTTTTTCTCCCAATAAACTTGAATTCATCAAAAACCTCTTGAATATCATTGACTTTGTGGCCATCCTACCTTTCTACTTAGAGGTGGGACTCAGTGGGCTCTCATCCAAAGCTGCTAAAGATGTACTTGGCTTCCTCAGGGTGGTAAGATTTGTGAGGATCCTGAGAATCTTCAAGCTCACCCGCCATTTTGTAGGTCTGAGGGTGCTTGGACACACTCTTCGAGCTAGTACTAATGAATTTTTGCTGCTGATAATCTTCCTGGCTCTGGGAGTTTTGATATTTGCTACTATGATCTACTATGCTGAAAGAGTAGGAGCTCAACCCAACGATCCTTCAGCTAGTGAGCACACACAGTTCAAAAACATTCCTATTGGGTTCTGGTGGGCAGTGGTGACCATGACTACATTGGGCTATGGAGATATGTACCCCCAAACATGGTCAGGGATGCTGGTAGGAGCCTTATGTGCTCTGGCTGGAGTGCTGACAATAGCCATGCCAGTGCCTGTCATCGTCAACAATTTTGGAATGTACTATTCCTTGGCAATGGCGAAGCAGAAACTTCCACGAAAAAGAAAGAAGCATATTCCTCCTGCCCCTCAGGCAAGCTCACCTACTTTTTGCAAGACAGAATTAAATATGGCCTGCAATAGCACGCAGAGTGACACGTGTCTGGGCAAAGACAATCGACTTCTGGAGCATAACAGATCAGGTAAGGCACACTTTCAAATGCATGCCATTAAATACTTTATAGACCAGTATGTCCTTTAGGTAGAAGGCAGCCATTTTCATTTTCAGCAAATATTCAGTTCTAACGCTTACAAAATGTGTTTGTGTAAGGCTCGTAGATCTAGATGGTAGCTTTTCTAAGTGAAATCCAAGTAGAAGTTTGCATAGCTGGTCTATAGAGTTTTCCTGCTTTAGTGGGAATGCCCTTTGCTGATGGTGCCAATATTTTCTTTTGCCTGTTTGTTGCTTTTGTGCCAATGTTTCTTTGTTTCCCTGCACGATGTGATGGTATGATATCGGCCATTTTCCATCCTTCATCCTCAAAATGTTGCTCTCCATAACATTTTGCTTGGTGTGTTTGTCTTAGTTTTATCTCTGCCACATGGGACCATGCATCTCAACCTAATTCACAAGAAGCAGTTACTTAAGAAGAATGGATGTTTACATTTCAAAGGCATAAACATCCAAGAGGTGATACGGAAAATAGCCCTTTTGATAACAAAAGTCTTCCCTAGTAATATTTTGGAGAATTGATTAGATTTTAATTATTCTTAAATTAGGTAGGGTATTCAATATAATCCCCTTGGACTGAGCAAGGCGCTATGTAATATAATCAACTCACCATTATTTTGGGGAGAGATGATCTGCTTTGGTTAATCAATGGCAACATTAAATTTTTCTGTGGATTTTCTTTTTTCATGCAGTATACATTGGGCTCTGTCTCCTGCCAGAACTGAATATTGGATGATTTACTGCTTGATATTAGCTGAATCCCTACTCCTCTCTATTGCCATAGATATTCTAGAGTACACTGACTAGCTTGACTGTAAATTGATATTTGATTTGCTAAAGTGACCATCAGTAGTATCATTTATAATCTATTATGTCTGGTACAGATGAAATATTTTGTAGATTAAACGACTTAGTTACTTTAGCCTACTGTGAAAATTTAAGATACATGCATTCTCTATAACTTGGGTATATGTAATCTTCTTGTAGAAAAATTATGTATGATAATCCCATGTGAGAAATTTTGCATAATTTAGAAATACTAACAATTAAACAAAGCAAGCAAACAAACAATCAAAAAAAGACAGGCAATATTTTCATAGGTTTCCTCCTTAGCTTCCAGAAGTTTTTATGTAGTAAATGGAAAAAAAAAATTGTAGCTGGAAGTGAACCGCTTTTTTAAAGATTTTATTCACAGTCCTTATGTTCATTTAGTAGATAATGCTTTAGATTTTGTCAATATATATCTGCAAACTGTTGGGCCAAGAATATGTCTTTGTGAAAGGTGGAGTTTAGTTGGTATTGCTCGACTCAGAGTACCTGTGCAGAGTCCTTGTGAAAGGCATGAAAAAGGCCTGGGTAAACATTGTTATAACAAACTAGTATCTAGGCTGACAGGATGTGACTGTCTTTGGCAAGCATATAGAAACAAACAGTTGTCTCGAAGGCTTTTGGAGAGGTTGATCGTGTTCCACTGTTATGTTCAAAAATATTTTGTCACTTCAAACTGGAGAACCTGGACCCAAAGTTGTTGAGTTTGGGATTCTTTTTATTAAGATGTTTGGGGAAAATTACTCTCAGAAAATAATAAAAACATGTGTCTTAAAGAGCTGCAAAGACAGATATTTACTTAGGAGTTTTTCCTTAAATAGATTCCACTTTAAAAAAATAAAATGAAAAGATAAAGATTCCTATGAACTGTAACTAGATAACATGTCAAAGATAGTAAGGTGTCAATTTGTGTTCTACTTTATTATCATACTTCTTTGAATTCATATTAGTTTTGTGAAAGTCGATTTCCTATTAGATGGAATCCAAAATGAAATTTAAATTTCCCAAAGAACATTTCTCTCCTTTTCAATACATTCCCACTTTGCTCCATGTAAGTTTTTGTGGTGAGTGATGAAAATCTTTTTCTTATCATGATGTGATTATGGTGTTTTGTATATCGATTGACTGTACTATGGACGTTCGGTGTAAACTCTTTGTACTGTCTCATTTCCTCATCCATCACTGTCTGTCAATGGGCATGGTGCTGTGACCAGTGTTATCAGGTGACGACAGTACAGGAAGTGAGCCGCCATTATCACCCCCAGAAAGGCTCCCCATCAGACGCTCTAGTACCAGAGACAAAAACAGAAGAGGGGAAACGTGTTTCCTACTGACGACAGGTGATTACGCGTGTGCTTCTGATGGAGGGATCAGGAAAGGTAGGCATGCATTTAATCAGATACTCACAGGTGACTTAAAAATTAAGTGCTACAATATATGGAGTGATGTAAAATGCTCTTTCATCATTTTCTAGGAGAGACTATACGTAGTGCTCTTTCTCATTCCTCATCATATCTTTTCTCATAATAAACATTTAAAAATACATATCATAACAATCTACTTGGTTGTCATATCTGAAAGACATTTCATCTTTCTTTATTATTTTGGTTTCCCATGTGTCTTTGGGAAGAATTGTAATGGAATATTTAAAAGTTAAGTCACTTACCTAATTATTTTACTATAATGTACCCAGCAGTCTTTAAAAGTTATCTTTTTACCTACAACTTATAAAACTCACTAATTGATGCTATACATATATTTGATAAGTAATTGATGATTATAAAATAATAATGAGGCTCTTTTCAAAGAAAAACATTATCCAGTATTTGGGCTTTTTTTTTTTTTTTTTGCTGCGGTTTATCTGAGTGTCAGAAAGTTGAAAAGGTCCAAGATCCCTGGTCATGCAGAACAGTATACTCAATCATTTGAAAGGCTATTTATGTATTTATAAGATATGTCTACAGAATTTCTCTTCAGAGCAATAATAATAATTTTAAATTTATTACTGTCTTTCAACCCAGACTGATCTGTGCCTGGTGCATAGAAGATACTCAGTAAATATTTGTTGAATGGAATAATTGTGTTGGTCAGACATCTTGGTTAAGAAATATAACAATAGTGAAGCTCCAGTCCATCATGTGGTTCAGTTGTCCTAGATTGTGCCACTATGATCATTCTCTAGGTGCTGTTTGTTTTATTTTTGTTTTGAGTAAACTTTACAGATCTCAGAACAAATAAGCTTTTTTTCCTCCTCCTTAAGAAAACAGTTTTGTGACACTTACTATACACCCTTGTTAAAGTGTCAGTATGCTCTTTCATTAGCTCTTACTTCGATGGTTCCAGCTGCTTTATTACCATGGTGATTTTTTCTGTTTATTGGCAGAATAGAGAAAGAACTATAAAAATTTCTTATGCAATGGACTGAATTTAAATAAAAATCCATTCCAAAACTTTCATATTAGTGCAACTGCATTTAAAAAATATTGTGCTTTTTGCTATTCATTGCAGTTTCTCCCTGTTGAATACTTTACCATTTTAAGCCTCAACTATTTATTTTGTGATGCTCTCTCTTTTTGAAATATTTCATTATCTGTGTCATACTTCTCTTCCATTTCTTCTGAACACTTTATACTGTCCTTTCTGTCTCCACACCTTTAAATCTCACAAGACAAAGGACTCTTCTTTTGTTTCTTAAGTATGTAATATTTTAAATACTCCTTCATATCAATTATTTCCATTTTCTTCATCTATTCTTTTCATCAAAATGTATTTTAATTATCTGAATAGGTTTGATTGTTTGCCATTTTATATTTAAATATTATGTTAGAACAATTTTTAAATATCTTATGAAGACTATTATTATAGTACTTGAGCAAAATGTACTTACATTAAATAATAATGATAACAATAATATCTGACTAATAATATTTTATGTGACAATATTTTAAGTGAATTACATATCTTAACTCACTATATATGTATATACAGGTACATATATTTGTATTTATATGTAATGTGGTTAAAATTACATACATTTTTTAACATTATTCTATAAAGTACCACATGCAATATTTATACTAAGGTTACATGTTTAAGAACTTAGCTAGAATTTTTTTTCATGTTAAACTGTCAAGAAGGTTACATATGGAAAAAGATTTTGCAAATTATAAAGCACTATGTAAATAGAGTTTTTCTATAAAATGACAAAGTTTCATGAGCAAAGCAATTAATAAGATATTTAGTTTATATGGAAAAGTTATACATACAACCTTATTTCACAAATACAAATTCTCTTTATTAATGAGAACATCTTTGAAAATTCATCTATGAGCTTTTTATTCTTGGTCGTTTCTCGCCATAACCAACTACTTTTTTCATTCTTGCTTAATTCTTTTGCACCTTTGTGTTTTTTCTCCTGTCTGGTAACATTTCTGGTTAACGTCACTTAATCTTCTTAGTGTGTTATCTTGTCATGTCTATCAGAAATTCATTCATTTCTTCTATTTCCTTTTGTGTAGATTATAGATTTTCTTTTATGTAGATTATAGATTTCTCCTATTATTCCTACTCAGACATTTATTTCTTATATGATCTGTTCTTTTACTTTTCAAATTGGTCTCTTTATTGATTTGATTTTAGAATTCTGAAAATTCTCCCCAATATAGATGAAAAAAAATTATTAGATTCCCACTGAATCATTTTCTATCTACGAATATAAATATAGTTGGGCATACATTAGGAAAAAATAAAGGATTCCCTAAAATAGTAAACTCCTAATACTTAGAAACCATAATTTTATTTATGCAGTAATTTTTAGGAAATTACATTGCATAAACAAAAACATACCCACTGATAGTACAAGTATTGGCAGTTTTAATATTGCCCCAAATAAGCACATGCTCTTTAGAACTGTGTAAAATGCATGCCATATATTTAGATGTTAGTTCAAACTAGGTCTAATATTATTTTCATGAATAATATTTTCAGCAATTCCATTCAATAAAAGCTTAATTAGGCAAAATTTATTAAATTTTCTAATCAGAAATTAACCTGCAGAATAAAGAATACATTTATATGAATAACATTTTACTAATTAAATTCTTGTTACTAAATTAAAAAGTAAGCTTTTTCAAATGAACACTGTAATTATAGTTATTAAAAAATAAAAGGATTTATAAACAACTTGGATATATTTATGTTAAGAACTATAATTCAGAAAAAGAATTGAACATTTAGAAAGGCAGCCAAGATTTACATATAACTTGCATGATTAGTATAAAATTGTCAAACAGATTTTTATGTTTTTTGGAGGTCCTACAGAGATCGTGAAGATTGTGGGGGTCAAGATGTAAACTTTTATATGGATAATTTTTAAGTATTAACAACCCCTTTGGTTCATGCATATTCACCAGTTTGCTTTTAATCAAACCCAATCAATGTTTACAGTGTAGTTTACATTTTTAAGTTACATAGTCAACCATGATAAATTATTCTTTCAACAATTCCCAAAGTTATATTTCCAATCACTTTACCAAAGGGCAGCAATAACTAGCCCTCCAGGCACATCAAGGTCTCTATATAAGGATAAATTACGTGCAATTCTTCAAAAAGCACTTAAGGCATCTTCCCATTAGCTATTCCATCACTTATCAGAGTAGAATGAAATATATACCACCTCCCACATTTTATAATTCAGAACACTAATAAAATATATTGACAGATAATTCTCTCATTGGCAGAAATTGTCCTAGAGAACTTTACCATAGTTAATGGATGGCATAAATTTTTGTCTACAAAGCCTCAAAGAAGACATCTAGTCTTCTGAATGTTTATATGTGTGTCTGTGAAGAAGGGGTTCCTCTTCAGTCTAGCCTTACTCTCAATAGAGTTATTATTGCGATCCATATCCATATCTGTCCTCGGGGCTTTGAAACAAATAATCACTAAATCACTTACCATTTCTCTTCTTTCAGTGAAAGCGGGGGAGATAGCAGTGGCTTCTTCTCCAGAAATTCTATGAAAATGTAGAATTAAAGAAAGAAGTAGTGGAAAGGAACATGAAGAAACACAAAATGCCCACTTTCTTTCTTATACAGTCATCACACACACTGAGGGCTAACGAAAACCCAAGGAGTATAGCATAAGTCAAAGGGAGACAAGAAGTTCACTGGAATTATATCTATTTGCTCAGCTTTGGCTGTCATCAGATAATTTCATTTTCTTGCTCTATAACACCTTTTCAATGCGGCTGTCAGAACATTTCTTTCCTAAGCTGTATTACTACTTTTCTAGTCTATAGATGCCCTGCTTTTAAGACAGTTCACTTCTAACTTTATACTAGGTACTTCCTACTTCATTTAACTGCCTCTAATCTTTTCTAATAAAAAATGCTACAATATTTGAATCCTTCCAAAGGTGACCTTGATTGCTTAAGTAGATAAGGCAAACCAGTGAGTTAAAGCTGTGAGGAGGATCTTTTATTCTGTAAGTCTGTGACAATCATGAACAAAAGATTAGAATGCAAGATAATAGAAAGAAAGGTGAATTAAGTTCAAATTGTTCTCAATTCCTTGACAGAGGGGAGTCAGCTGAAAACATCATATCGAATTCAGACTTTAATTTCCTGAAATTATAACTCAATTTATATTTCATTCATTATATTTTTCCTTTACTGTTTTTTATTTAAAGGATTAGAAATGGACATTCATTCTACATCATCCAGATAATGGTATCAAATGCCATTATTTGAGAATCTTTCTTTTAACTCCATAAAGCTGGAAGATTAAATACTGTAAAAAGACTTGTGCCCTTAAAGTCAAGCATGCTTTATTAGCTTAGTAACTACTAAAAACATGAAAAGAGAAAAAATAGCCCTCTTTTTTTCAGGAATATATTCTGAAATTTAAAAGTATCAGCCAAGTGTATATCTTACTTAAGTTGCTTTGCCTAATTCTTAAAAGAGTTCTGGTATTGTATATGCCAAAATTACATCAATACAAACTTTAATCTGGGAAAGAATAGATTTTAAAGTATTGCAACTATAATTTGTGATAGCTGGTTTACTCTTTTGAGAATGACAGCTATAGTGAGCTTCATTTTTTTTTTCTTCAGAGTTATAAATTGTTTCAATATTGAACTCTTTCTAAACAGTTTTTTCTTTGAGCTCAGAAATAGCACTTTTGATTATCCTGCATGGTATTGTTTGTCTGTGTCTATTTTCTGGTTGAATTCAACTGATGTCTGTGCCTTTTTTCATAAAAGGATATGAAAAATCCCGAAGCTTAAACAACATAGCGGGCTTGGCAGGCAATGCTCTGAGGCTCTCTCCAGTAACATCACCCTACAACTCTCCTTGTCCTCTGAGGCGCTCTCGATCTCCCATTCCATCTATCTTGTAAACCAAACTGCATCAGCTGGCTAAATTGTATTAATTCAAGTACTGTTTATCCCATAATGGAAATAATTAAACATAGAGTTACTCCAAGCTCCATTAATCAGTACAAATCTGCATGATATTACTATTTGAAGTCAGAAATGCCATTTGGGTAGCTAATGAATCTTATCTTGGCTTTAAAGATTACCTAAAGTAGTGGTACTACTTCTCCATGTCAATTACCCTGATGTCTTTTTGCAATAAAATACGAATAGTGTCAGATATTGGCCAGTACGCTAATACATAAACATATCTTCAGGGAGTTATATTTAAAACTGTGTGCTTCCAAATGCCAACCACTTCATTGGACCTTCATTTCTGTGACTCTCTAAACCATTCTGAAGATGTCTGGGATCCTATCTTGCTTGCATACAACAGCTCATTTGCATGGACCATCTTGTCTCTTATCACCTGAAAGCAATGTCACAGAATTCGGGGACCGTGGATGGCTTGGGTATGTGTACTTGCATCAAACCATCTTGCTGATATGAAAGCACCGGTCAACTGTTCTGCATGTTGAATTGTGGGGCAGGGAGGGCGAGTTTCTCTTTGACATTTTTTTTTATTATTATTCTTTGAAAGAAGTACTTGTTTTACATAGCTTAGTTTCTTGGTTGATTTACTTTTCTTCAAAAATGCTGTATTGGAGTTCTGAATGTCTCTGGTTGTTTGCACACAGATAACTACAAAGAGGTTGTCATTACTGGTTACACGCAAGCTGAGGCCAGATCCCTTACTTAATGGCTTGCGGAAGGCACAAAACATGAGAGAAAGGTAACTGCCAGCCAGGCTTGCATTGTTTAAACAGGAACTGCTGCTTGGTACTAGACTCATTTTTTTTTTTTTTTTTTAAATTCTGGAGTTTGTCATCATTTTTAGGGGCAGAATCCCAAATATCTCCTAAAGCTCTCCTGTCTTTTTTACCTCCTTCCTTTATTTTTATTTCTAATTTTTTCGTGCAAACATCAAAGAGCATTGCCGTTCACAGGAGGCTTTCTTGACCAGCCTTAAATTTCTGACTCACAAGAATATCAGATTTTCAGTCAATGTTTAATCAGGTGCTTTGTCCTGAGTGTTGTTCTGTCTGTCTTAGCTCCCTGTCTTAACTGTATATGTCATCTGTCTTCGTAAAGTACAGAAATTCCTTCATATGGTGTTCATGGCTTTAGAACTGGGTCTTCTCCTCCTCCCCTTGCCTTTTTGGCTACTTGGAACTGCTTTTCTGCTTTGTATATAAATTAACGATGCCCTGTAGGCTCCCTTAGGTAGATGGTATTGTGAACCTTTCTGGTAAACAGGATTTAAGCAGCAGCACGATCACCATTGCCTTTGGTTGGCTGCTGTGGTGTCAGGTTCTACTACCTATCAACCAGCGTTCATCACTACGCTCCAACGAAAGCCCTAGGGAGTCTTATTCAGTCCAAGCGGAAAAAGTTCTGTTTATACATCGCTATGAATTCAATAGCAATAGTGTGTCTGGTGTATTGGGCATGTGAAAGGAGAAAAATGCCATAATATATATTGAGGGATAAACAATAGTTCTAAGGCATTCAGTATCCTTGAGATTGTTGATTAATTTCTAATTCTTATGTTTATTTTTTGTTAGGAGGACAATTGTCACTTTTATTCTTGGACATGTAACTTGTATTACTCTATAAAACCAAGTCCTAGAGCATGACCTGCATGTCAGAGATCTTGTGCAGCAATGTGTTTACCCAGACGTACACATCTGATATTTAGAGATTCAGTGACCCTCTTGATAATATCACACATAGAAAGCTATAATTACACACAACTTTATGGTAAAGAAAATTAATATACTGTCTGGTGCTGCTATTATTGACTGCAGTGTTGTACAGAATTTATCATGGATTTTTGACTGCTGAAAAAGGGACAGTGGAATTTGGCCATGCCAAGGACTGTACTGGAAACAGGCTTCTGCTGCTGAATGTGCCCTGATGTGACCAGGTTGCACTGGGAAGGAGTCCCGGCGTCTTCATGAAGCATTTAAAGCTCATAAAAGAACTGTGGCTGGAACTCATCTGGTGCTCCCGTATGAGTGGTCTGCTTATGGACTGGCCAGTGTCCATGAAACAAATGTAAATACCAACATACGTGCATGGGTCAACAGTTTTGGCCATCTCACATCAAAGGAAGCCAAATTCATGATCCACATTTCCGAAGCTTCAAGTGTGGCCCATACCTCTGTGGATTGCCCCTCATGGGCCTGCAGTAGATTATGCTGTAAATCATACAAAGTAGTGATATTGACGTAGTATAGATCTATCTTAATTTCCCTTATTTCTTCTTTATTGGTTGGATCCATGAACATTGACTGTATCATTTTCTTATAAACCACTTATATTTGTCATGTTATATTGTGAAATTTTCAGTGCCTATTTATCGAAAATAACCTATTTTTAGTCACATATTTGTTTGGTTCTGGAAAATTGCTATGAGAAAAAAAACTCACCAACATTATTCATAGTTTGTCTTTTGTCATTATTACCTCGATTATAAATATTACAAAAAATAAAATTCTGGCAATGAGAGTATTTTTTTACTAAATGATCAAGGAGCAATGTCAGTATATAATAGATTATTAATCAAATTATATCCTAAAATGTATATTTTGCATAAAAGAGATATTCTTCAATCAATTACTTTTTTTTGTGAGTTTTGTGACAAACGAAGCTTGTACTTGTCTTTAAAACTATCGTAGTTGAAACTGTATAAGTATTCTTCAACTTGCTTAATCAATATTTCTAGAATCTATTAGTTCCCCTGGGATTCTGAATATAACATATAACCTAATTATAAATTCCTGTATCGTGGACCTTTTGTGAACATTTCAAGGTGCATGTACAACCTTGTTGATAATCATGGAAATGTTACTAACTGAAATGAAGAATAAAAGGCAAATATAAGCTGGGGATAAACTCGAATCCGATCTGATTAAATTATTCACTTTTTTTTTTCCTTGTCTTTTTGTTTTAGAGTTTTCAACAGGTTTTTCTATTTTTATGCTTCACAGTACCAAACCAGATGCTCAAACGTAATAAAGAATTTGGGAAAAAAGAATTTATAAATATACATAGCTCTAACACTTTCATTCAACTCTCAGGCATGTAGCAGTGTTTTCCTCTTCTAACTGCTTTTTCTGCCTAAATTTTCTTATAATTCTGAGATGGCAAAATTATTAATCATTATGACATCTGATATTTATAAGGCATTTTCTAACTAATACTGAATTTTTACTTACACTTTCCAACTTAATCATCATAGCAGGTCTAGAAGTAAATTTTTTTTTTTTTTTTTTTTATTGGTGGTGAATTTAAAGATCAGATAGATAGGCAGAACTGTTCACTTATATTTTTGCCACAGATAATCTTTCCTGACATAATTTCTCAAGGTTTAAATATTTACTGAGCCTCTTGATATAAATGCCTTAACTTCTAAGGATGGCTTCTGTCTCACTTTTGGGTAATGGACCTCTGTTTCAGCAGCACACCACACGTAGCAGGCATTCCATTTACATTGTGGGGTTACATGTAAATTTACCCTGTAACATTCGATGAAACAATCAGGATCAGGGGAAAGCTAAACTAACTCTATTTTGAGGGAATCCTATTTCTTGTTATGGTCTACAAATTAAATAATTCAATTGAATTTGTATTACATAATTTTGTTTTATATTTATTACACTGTCATTCATGTCAAAGTGATGGACCACTGAATATGCATTTTGAACAATAAGTTCTTCAAAGACTATGGCAATCTCCATCTAGAATTTCAAGACCTAATATGATTTTTTTTTTCTTAAATAGACTTTATTTTTTAGAGTGCTTTTAAGTTCACAGGAAAACTGAGCAGGAAGTACAGAGTTTCCATCTACTCCCAAACCCCACACGCAGCCCTCCCTGACTATCTTCATCTTACACCAGAGTAATATATTTGTTACATCAACGAACCTGCAAAGACATATCACTATCACCCAAAGTTTATAGTTTACATTAGGGCTCACTTTTGGTATTGTACATTCTGTGGATTTTGATAAATATATAACGACATATATCCAACACTGTAATATCATACAGAATAGTTTCACTGTCCTAAAAATCCTCTGCGCTTCACTTATTCATCCCTTCCTTCCCCTTAATCCTTGGCAGCCACTGATCTTTTTATTGTTTTCACGGTTTTATCTTTTCCAGAATGTCATATAGTTGGAATCATACAGTACGCAGTCTTTTCAAATTGGTTTCTTTCACTGAGTAATATACATTTAAGATTTCTTCATGTCTTTTCATGGACTGATAGCTCTTTTTTTTTTTTGGTGCTGAATAATATTCGATTGTCTGGATGTACTGGGGTTGATACAGTCACCTACCAAAAAAACATCTTGGTTGCTTCCAAGTTTTAGCAATCATGAATAAAGTAGGTATAAACATTCATGTGCAGATTTATGCATATGATTAAATGTCAAAATGTCAAAATTAGCATGCATTCAATCACTATAGATTTTATTAATAGTATGCCCTTACTTACCTTAAAGGTTAGTTAGTCACTAGCAGGCAAGTCAAGTAACTTTATTAGGAAGTTATTTTTTTATTTGGGGATCAAATTGTGAATTGGAGATCAAATTTGTTGTACTATTGTTTATAAAATAGTGTGAATGTATTGTAAACCCATAGAGTTTATATTTTCATTTTTTAGTCTATTTCTTGCAATAAAAAAAAATGAGATAAGGATATTTCAGTAACTCAAAATCAAGTAACTTATTTTGGGGGAAAATAAATTTTTTTTTGGAGCAATGTTAAATTTGGTAAACACTTATAATTTTTTCTATAAGCCAAGAAGAAATGTCATTGCACCAAACTGATAAAAATACTTTGGCATTAGTGAAAATTTTGCATTTCTATTAGGAGTAATGAATAGTGACATGAAACAGGTAAAAGTACTACCATATGAAAAGAATTCTTAATATAATTTGAATGTGGCAATTCCTGAAACCTTTCTTTTATCAATAGCTTCAGTGTTTTTACTTCCTTTTGAGATCCTGTAGCAAAGATCTAAAAAGTTATAAAAATCCAATTCTTTCTTAATGGCAAGAGAAGCTATTTTAAAGATAAGCTTAACTCGCTGATCAAAAACAAACAAACAAAAAAACTCTAATCAAACCTGTAACTGTATTGCACAGGATTAAGCATGAAGTTGGTGCTTAAGGACTGATGATATTTCTTTCTTCTTTCCTTTTTTTCCCTTGAGAACTCACATTTTACCAGTAACTCCATCTCTCTAGAAACAAAAGGCACTAGTTTAAATGCTCTAAGTACTGTTCTCTCTTGTTGCAGTAGCTGTTCCTTATCACACTGGACTCTGGGAGAAAGCTTAAAAGAACTATGAGAATTCTGGCTGCCTGGCTGGCAGAAAGCTCTAGAATCTAAGATAATAATGATTAAAAAACACACTCATATACACAGCTGGATATACAGAGACAAAGAAAATACATAGCAGCAAAAACTAAATATTGTCTGAAACAAGGTTATTTAGTGTGAAATAAATAAAAAGACAAGTCAAAGGTAAAGAAATACTTCTATAATTCTACTTCATAGACCATGTTAGAATAAATTCTGCACAAAGGTATCAGATAGTCTTTTCACTGGAGACTTCAGAAGGTTTGCATGGCATAATGAAAGCAGGTCAAGAGACCAATTTTTATCTTCCCTAACGATGAATGAATTTAGACAACTTTATTTTAGATGCTCTTTTAAAAAAATTTTCTTTGAGTTTTGACAACTATCCTTTCTTTATGTTTACATTAGTGTAATAGTTAAATGCTTTCAGAATTAAATAATGCCTGTCAAAATATAAAATATTACTCATTATATTTTGATTTGTATAAAATGTATTTGTATAAGTTCTGGGGATCATATTTATTACAAGAGCACAATTAATGACAGTACTACTGAGAACAGATTGCTTTTATTTGTTTGTTTATTTGATTGTTTATTTATTTGTTTGTTTTTTAGGTGAGACAACCCTTGGTTGACCTCACAGATTGCAAGGACCTTCTCAGTTTACAATTTTCCTTATTTATTTATTTTTATTATTTTTTATGCCTACACCTGGTCTTCCTAGGTGGTCTTCCATCCAAGTGCTAACCAGGCCCAACCCTGCTTAGTTTCTGAGATGTTCAGGGTAGCATGGCCATAGACAAGAGCAGATTGCTTTTAAATGTGAAACTCCTTAACGTCACAAACGAGACTCCTAGGACAAATAACATTATAAGTTTTATTTTCCAAAATTAAATTTTTTATGATTTAGATCTACTTATTTTTTAGAACTGATAATTTTATGCATAATAACCATAACATTGAGAGTCACAATATTAAGATAGAAGAAGATATATGTCTTTAACAGAAGCTTTTCTTAGCATTAAATATCCATGTGGTTTGTTGGACACGTAGAAAAAAGAATCACAGACTTAATACTTAAAAGGCATTCTCTGACATATGTGGTCCACTACAGAGCCACAGGCAGATATTTCCGCAGTCTCACACCATCAAATAATTCTTTACCAAGTTAAGTATGGTTTTTATATTAAATATGGGGTTAAATATTATTTTAAAAAAATTTGAATTACTTATCAGTAGTTATGACCAAGATGCCTTAACATTCGCCTCAGATAGACGAAACTTTAGACTTTTCTTCTTGACTATACACCCCTGACCTCCCTTTTCTTAGAGCACTTACTTTAGAAAACTTTGTAGTGTAAATTTTTTTCTCTGCCCCTTGGAAATGTAAGTCTTCTCACAGCACTTATCAATTTTACACCCATGAATGTCTTTCTCAAGGGCCTAGGAGCTATCCCTTTGAAATGTAATAATCATGAAAGATATTAACTATCCCCATGTGCAGGTGTTTGTGGGAGGTAGCCACCTAACTTCAGTAAAGTGTCATTTAGCAAACACAAATGGCCTTAATCACGTTGAACAATCTCTCCCCTAATGTCCTCCAGTGCTTTTCCACTAGCTCATTCTAGTGCCTAAAAACTCCCTGGATCTGTTTCATCGAAGCTGAGTTCAATCTTTCTTGCCCATTTTAATAGTTTTGAATCCTATTTGCAATAATCTTGAATACAATCTTCCTTGATTGTTTAGTCTGATGCAATCTGTCTTTGATAGTTCCTTGATATTATCATTTGTGGAGCATCACACACACACACACACACACACACACACACACACACACACACACGCAACAGCTTTGAGGACTTAAAAGAATTGGTTAGGGACGGGGAAGAATTCCAACCACTCTGTTAGTTAATTTAATTTTAAAATAGATTTTTTAGAAGATTTTAATATCATAAAGATTATTCGTGGCTTGCTTTCTTTTTTTGAATCACTTAACTTCCTTCTTAGTTGACTAAATTGACAGGAATATGTAAGCAATCTGATAGGTTGCTGCCATTCATCTCTTCTCATTTTACTGCCAAGGAACTTGATAAAATGATTTAGTTAGGCCTCTTCTTCTTCTGGGCACTGTCCCTTAGAGTCCTCTGGCAGGCATTTGTCACTCCATCTCCACTACCTGGTATACTACCCAGCTCATAGAAGAATCTTAATCTATATTTGTTAAATTGAACTTAGACTGATTTTCCTGAAATTTATATCTCATCATGTTCTCTCCTGATTGTTCATCTCTCAACATCAGAATACAACACAAATTTTATGCTAGCCATTCAAGACATTTTATAATTTGGCTTCTTCTTGCCTGCCTTGAGTCAACTATTCATTCTTTTATTTGGTTCCTTTGTTCAGGATCTCTAGGGCTTCACAAATTGTCTGAAATATAGTAGATACAGTGTTTGTCATTGTCCCTGGATTCCTTGCTGTCCTGCCTCCCCCACCCCCTCACCCCAATAGCACAAGTAGTTAGG